TAGTGGAAAAATTACTTCCATTTGAAACCACCAGAGGGCGCTTTTTTAACCTCAAAGTCATTTAGTTTACATTTTTACAGATTTTTTATCCCTTTTTATTTATTAAACTGTAAGTATTTGTTGGTAATTTTACTGCAAATAAATATTTCATGTCAATGACATAGAAATTGCATGGTATTAAGGCTATTTAAGTTGGTACCACTGTCTCTGGAAACTCCAAATGTCACTATTTTTCTCACTAGATCAGAAACATAAAAAAACACCATAGCCCTAGTGTTTTCTTAATCTATTAAATCACATCCTGATTCTTTAAATTTTCTATTTAATCGTTTTCGATTATTTTTTTATAAATAAATTGAAAAAAAAAATAAATTCCCTAGTGAAACAAATTTTTCGTTTCTATAATCAATTGATTCCGTTAGGGTATTGTTTAGTTACTTTTTTTTATTCTTATTACCAATTAATTATTAACTCATTTAAATCGTTTTAATTAACATATTTTATTCCAAATAAAAAGGAAGAAAAAAAAGTTCCAATAATCATTTAATTATTACTTTATTTTCGTATATAAATTTAAACTTGCATAAATCAATTAGTCGAGGATGAACCGTAAATTGTCGATTTTACAACCGCGACGACGGCATCAGAAACAAAAATGAAAAAACCTCACAAGAACTTGCATACTTGAAAAATTCACATCAAAACGGAATATTTCTATTTTATTATTTTTTTATTGTTTAAAAATTACTGGAAAAAAAATGTGTTAAAAATTTTAATTGAATATCATAAATTTATTTTTATCAATTTCTTAAGTCATTGAAACGAGAAAAATAAAATTTGATCATTTCAAAATTAGTTTATGATTTTTTTTCGTTTTTTTTATAACATATATTTATTTCTTTTTTTCATGTAAACGATTGATTGTAACATTTGAAATAGATTGTTGGCAAAGATGGATTACTAACGACCTACATATCATACACACGGCTATAGAGAGATAACACCTGCTGAGAGCTTGGAAAAAAAATTTTGGGGTCTAAGGTCGGTTGTGATAAAGCTATGGAATCCGATCTTCTAAGATAAAAATCCTGAACAAAAATAGTATATATTACTTTTGAAGATGTCTTCATTTTTTCATTTGAAATTTTAGCTTGTTAAAGAATGTATTTATTCAATTAAAAATCTTATTTAATTTTTATTTTGACCAAAGCATAAATTATCTTAATGTAGTCAATTCGTCATAGCGGATGTGGTTAATCCTTAGGATTCGTCATTTTATGAATCGTTCAGTATCATTTTCAATTCACTTACTCCAAACTTAATCAACGATGATTGATTCTTTATCACTATTTTTCACTTATTTTTGACAATACACCCAAAACCCCGAGATTTTAAAAAAAAAATTCATCCACAATAAATCCAAGAAAATTCAAGTGTTTAGTAATAAAACGTCTAAAGTGTTTAATAATAAAATACTCAAAGGTTATAATGTTGAACACCATAAACAAATTTCTCCACTTTACTTAACGTCTACGAAATTACCTAAGTTTGTTCATGGTATTTAACATTGTAAACACTTTAAGTGTTTAATTATTCAACGCTTGGATTTTCAGTGATATTACAGTAGTCTTGAGATTAAGAGTGAACTCGTTGAGCTAACAAAACTATTTGTCTTTTTCTACACTGCAAATTTAGACTTTGAAAGTGTCTTATTTTAATGCACTTAAAGTGTTTAGATATAAAGTCACCGATTTAATGAGTATTGTAGTCACTTTTTAGATACTTTAAAGTGACTGGAATATTAATCGAATGGATGAAGTAATTTTAAAACACTTTAAGTGTGTAATAGTCACCTCACAAACTGTTTATTTGCTGAAATTAAACAATGAAACCGTCGGGATGTGTATAGTCGGTATTGTAGATTCTAGTGTTATTTCCTAGTGACAAATCCTGGACAACTGAGCTTAGTAGCATAAAAGGAGACAAGAAAACTGTGTTTTACAATTAAACTCTTTTCTATTACAATAATTAATAATAATTAATGAGTAATTAAATCATCTGATAATTGAATTTTTAACATATCTAAATTTTCACTGCTTACAACTAGGAATAAACCGTCACAAATGCATTAAAATAAAACACTTAATTATAATTACTTACTAATAATAATTATTACTAAATATAAACAATTAATTTGCATTAAATAAAAAAATTTCACTTCAATTGCTGTTAGTTTTTGACTGACTGATCCTTTTGTTTTTATTATTTAATATTATTATTTTTATGTACAAAATAAAATAAAAATATCTAGAATTACAAGACCTCACAGAATTCTAATAAATCCGTCAAACTAATAAAAACGTGTAAAAAATTAGCATAAAGAAAAAAATATGCAGAAATGTAAATTTGAGTAAAAACTGTCGCCTGATTAAGAAGAAGAAGAAGAAGAAGAGGAGTAAGGGAAAAAAAGAGAAACTTAAAGCCTCCGAATTTGAACATGAGAAACTAAAATGTAAGAGATGTCTTTGTTATCTTAAAAGTTAAGAGATACAGCACCTGTATATCATCGCGGCTGATTTATCTGTGAAGATATCCAGGCAATCCAGTAGGTGCGAGGCTTGTTAAACGGAGTTTAAAAGAAGAAGGAAGGGAAGGATAGAAAAAGATGTGTGCGTGTGGAGGCTAAAGAGATCCTAAGTAGTTAGAAAGAACAAAAGAGTCGGAGGGACTATTGTTCTATGATTTAGTGTGTAGAGAAAGAAGATGACCAGGTATGTTTAAACGTTTACTATATACCTACTAAGAAGCCGCTTGTCGCTTTGACGATGGAGTAATTAAGTCTCACTAGACCCTACCGACTTCCTGGCACCATTCAAGATCTTGAACTCTTTGTCAAGATCACTGATAAAAAGATCTTTTCATTTGATCAAAAGTTCCGATCAGTTTTTTCGGAAGTCTTGACTTGTTAAAGACTTAACGAAACACGAAAAAGATATATATATATTAAAAAAAAAACACACACATTTTCTAAAACCAATGAATTCCACTAAATCTAAAAGCGTGCGTCAGAAAAAAAATAGTCGGGCGTCGATTGATAATTAATTATCTAAGGCTTGTGTCGAGTATACACATATATATAAACTGAGAACATGCTTTTGTCACCAGATTCATTGGACTTCGTCTCTCGTCACTTCACCACCTCTTCACTTACTTTTAACCTCGACAACATTTTTTTTCTTCTTCCATTTCCACTACTCTTTATTATACTTCCCTATGTATATCTATATATATACACACACATAAATAGTATATACATTATAATTTGCAATAATATATTGTCATACGACCACACAAGCGTTCAGTAATACGCCGGTGGCTTTGCCGCGCGGTCAATCATCATTTTAAACTGACATTGGTCTTTTTCTCAGTTGCGCAATCGCTTGAAACATGACAAACAATGAGCAATCACTGGCAAGATTAATTTACTTGAGTATTCAAACAATTTTTTTTTCTTTTATTCACAATAAGTGACAATTTGTGAGTGATCCGTTAATTCAACAACAAAATTTTGATATTGGTTTTTTTTAAATAAAAATTTCTTTTTTTTTTGTGTAATAAATATTTTATGATGTAAAATTGGATTAAACCAATATATTCTACGTTAAAAACTGAACAAAAAATTCCTTTACAAAAATACAATCGGACAAATACTTTCTGAGATATAAGCATTTGAAGTTGACCAATCACGTGTGAGTATCTAGTGAAAAATGACGGTTATTTTATTGAGATAATTTTTTTTAGGTTAATTGGAGCTGATTAACTGAGACAATGTGTGAATAAATAAATATAAATGATTACTAAAAGAAAAATCCCTAGATGAATAGTTTGAAATAAACTAGGAAATTGAATAGAGTTAAGCTTGTCAACAGCGACACACAAATGTAAGGAGGATTTTAGAAAAATGGGATTTCAAATGTAATAATGAGACCAATTGGAGCCACCCTACAGGCGCCAGGAGGGGGTGAATCATCTGAATGCTAATCCCGGCACGCGTCTATAAGCCCGTCTACTATAACGGCACCAGGAGTTTCTCTCTGATGCAGCAGTGGGATAGTGAGTGGTACACGCGTGCATTAGCGTATGCTGTGAGTGGTGGGGGAGAATTTAATACCGACTGGTGGGGCAGTCTCGTGTATGATACCGGTAGAGGGATGTCGAGAGTACAAGAGTGGGGATGGAGTCGTAGAGAGAAGCAAAAGCCGCCAGGTAAGACTAACACTAGTGGGGCTGACTCATGCGCCTCGAGACTTACTGAGCGCCATATCCTGTAATTTTAAATAATTTCGTCAAGTATAACAAAGTGCCAGAAGCTCGAAATTATTATCAAAAATTGCATTTCTACAGATATTCATTTTTTCTGGATTATTTGATTTTTTTTTACAAGAAAATAAATTTTGAAAAAAGTAAGAGCTTTTTTTTTATAGACAGCCCATTTTCCTGAATGTTGGGCCATAGATAAGGGTGTGAATCTCAACGATGAAATTGGCACGCGGCCAGTTGTTACCAAAAGAATGTACAGGAATGAGTAAAACGTTCACGTGTAACGATTGAGTGGTGTAGAATCAAGTCGAGTGGAAGACACAATTTTAGGTCGATAGGGGATCGACCTCGAGAGGTTCGATAAGGGGTTGATTTTATTTGCGAGTCTGCGCAGATTATCAAGATTTTTTTTTTTATTTAAAATGAATTGTGCTAAAAGTGTTTAATTGTGTGACAAGAAAAAAAAAAATGAAAAAAGTGAAAATCGTTAGTTATTATTGAGAAGAATATTGAGAATTGTGAATAAAGTTATCTGCTGTAAAATGAAGATAATCATTTTCATTACAATAATGAAAACAAAATGAATAAATTAGTGAATTAATAGTGATAATAATTGTGAAGGTTGTAAATAATATATATATATATCAAAAATTGATCTGTTAATGAGACTAGTGTTTTAATGAAGAAAATTGACCATAAAGGTCGACTTTGGTGGATGTGAAGATTTTAAAAGTAGTTTTTTGAAGGCCAGCCCGACGCAATGCGTCGACGCTGCTGACGCAACGCGTCTGGATGCGTCTCACTCTAAGCACGTGAGTTGAAATTTTTTTTTTTCAAAGAATTTTTTTAAATGAAAATAAATAAATTTCTTTTTATATAAAACCGAACATTAGAAAATTGATTAAGGTGTGAAATTTATGTTTTCTATACAGTGGTAAATAACAAAAAAAAGAAATTCAAGTCAATAAAACCCCCTGTTGAGTATCGACCGTATAACGACTTTTAAAAGAAAAAACACCCTGTCTTAAGTTAACGGTTGTATTTAGGGTAGAACTATTATACGCAATTTTATCCATTCTTTTTTTCTTATTCATTTTTACACTCGGTATACCAAAAGATTCTTTTTATTTTTTTTCGTCTAATTTTTTCAACTCTTTCTCTCTACTACTTTGTATTTTTTCTCTTTTATTCTTACAACAGACTTTGATCCTTACTCCTCAATACATCAAAAAATTTCGACCCCTTTTTTTTACCTGAGTCTTCAAGTGTTATTTATTTTAGGCGGCTTTTTAAATTCTTCAAATTCATTTATTATCAAGTGAACCACTTAATTATGATTGTGTTAGAAAAAAAAAAAAATGATCAAAAATTTACTTTTCTTTTAAAATTTATTCAAGAAAGTGACGACAGTTTAAAAAAGATATACAATTTCCGAGTAACATTTTCATTTGTAACTTTCTAATCGTTAAAAATTTTATTTATATAAATATTTTTCAAATAAATTTAGATTTTTTTCTCGTGGGAAAAAAATATGTGATTATATGTTTGTAGCTAATTTCATACATAGTGAAAATTATATAGTATTTTTTTTACTATTAAATAAATCGCCACAATAGTGTGTTGTTTTTGAAATATATTCAGTAAAATTTGGAACAGAATCGAAATAGTTAAATTCACTATGCTGTGTTAATTTTTCATAGTTAACTATGAAATGTTAAATAGAGAATTAACACTGCATAGTAATTCCAACTATTTTGATTATGTTTAGTGATCCTGGAGAAAACATTCTTCATCTTATGAGACAAAAGACAATTAAATTATGAATCAACTATGAGCCTTCTAGAGTCAAATATTCTCTAAAAAATTAATAGTTAAATCCCATAGTTGGAGTTATCTATCCTATCTTAATTTCGCATTTGACAGAAAATAGTTGAGTCTTTTTCGAACTATTAATAGTAAATGCAACTATATATTCCTATAATATTATATTTAAAATTACATAGTTAAGTCTTTTAATAGTAGAAAAATAACTCAACTATGAATCGCATAGTATTTCGATTTTTTTTTTTTAGTGTAAATATGATAAGATAAATTTAGATTGTTATATAAAAAATTAGATTCATTTAAATATTGATAAACTAAATACTACACGGAAAAAAGGATTTATTTATAGTTAAAATTCTACATTAACTGTTAGTAAATCTTACTTTAATTAAACATGATCTTTTTTAGTGTACATACAGATCCATAAAACATTAAATACTATAAGAAGTAATGCTTCCAATAAAGATCTTGTCATTTTTCTAAAACAATGAAGTAATTTTTACCGAAGTAATAATTCTCACTGCACAAAAAAAAATCAAAATAGTTAAAATTACTATGCTGTGTTAATTTTCCATTTTACATTTCATAGTTAAGTCTTTTCATAGTTAAAAAAAAACTCAACTATGAATCGCATAGTAAATTCAACTATTTCGATTTTTCTCAGCATGCTTTAGTGACAATAAAATTAATACTTCTATCATTATTAATCTCATTTAATAATAAACAAATATATTTTAATAGTTTAATCTCATAGTTGGATTTACAATCCTCATTCAACAAAAAATAGTTGAGTCTTTTTTAAACTATTAATAGTAGATGCAACTATGCATTTCTCTTCGTGTATCCAATACCTACTATTACAACTATTACACTATGTGTTTCAATAGTTAATATGAAGGAATTTCAAGCACAATTTAAGTAGAATTATATTTACAATTTTATTTAGAAAATATTCAGAACAAATCAAAATAAATCTTGTTAACTATTAAAAATGTCTTCTATCTTGAACTTTTTTCATCTGAATATTTTCCTTATAGAAAAAATTAACACACATATATATTTTCGACAAATATTTCTTCCCCATGGAGGTTAATTATTCAAAATAAATACTATGCTGATCTAGAAAGTCAAGTGAATTAATCTTTTCTACTTACATATGTGTGTGTGTATTTCTTCATTCTCTATTCAGCTTATTGTGATGTGGTTTGAAAATGACCTGTTGTTTAATTTAGCATCATTAAATAATTCTTTTTAAATCGTTAATCAGAATACCAATGAAAGATTTATCAAGTTATAGTCCGTTATCTTGACTCCACATGCGTGACAACTCGTACCTAGAATAGAAGGACATTGATCTCGAAACGACATTTCGACGACACGTGGAGATGAAATTTTTATTTCCAACTAAGATGAGAAAGAGAAATAAATAATTGAGATACAAGTTTATAGTACATCTTATGATAATCAATGAAATAGTTTCAAAGTAAACATTTGATTATAAAATTCTTGTATTTGTTATCGAACTTGGTCCGATTGTCAGCCGGGAAATCAGTCGATTGGTGATCATGATAACTAAAAGCATCCGAGATAAGAAGAATACGCAATTAAAATACCATGTTGATGAGTTTAATTAATTAAACTCTCTCTCGAATTAGTCTTTATAGGAATACATATTTTTTTGTTTTCCTTCCTTTTTCTTTCCTGAATATAAAATTATCGTGTTTTGATGACGTCTTTAACGAGGACAAGACCTACGACATGAAAATATTGTAAATTTCATAGACGCATGTGCTAATTTGAATAACAAGCTAACATAGGAAGGATTTTAGCGTTAATCAATATACGATGTTGTAATCGAACATTTTATATGAAATATTTCTTTCAGGATGTAGGGAAGTTTTTATTCACTCTTATGAGAAGATTTCTGGATTAGAGATGATTGCTATCCATGGGGTAAAATGAATTTTAATGAAAAATTACTATAGTAATTGCAGTCATCTCTGAGGCAGAAATCTTTTTTAAAAATCTCTACAGGGATTCTGAGTACACGCAGAGAAATGTATAGTAAAAATTACCATGAATTTTATGGGAATTTGGTGACACTGCAGTGTGAAGGTAAAAATTAATCAGGGATGATTGCAATTATTATAGTAATTTTTCATGAAATAATTGTTCATTGAAAATTATTTTACCCCATGAATTGCTATCATTCCTGAGCCAGACATCTTCTTCAAAAATCCCTATAGGGATTTTGAGTATACGCAGAGAAATGTATAGTAAAAATTACCATGAATTTTATGGGAATTTGGTGACACTGCAAGGTGAGGGTAAAAGTTACTCAGGGATGATTGCAATTATTATAGTAATTTTTCATGAAATAATTGTTCATTGAAATTTATTTTATCCCATGGATTGCAATCATTCCTGAGGGAGAAATTTTTTTTAAAAATCCCTACAGGGAATTTGGTGTCACTGCAGTGTGAGAGTAAAAATTTTTACAATGTATATAGTAATTTTTTACCCTCACACTGCAGGGGCACTAAATTACTATAAAATTCATAGTCATTTTTTTACTAAAATTCGTTTCCCCACAATCATGCCTGAGTCATTTTCATTAACTTCTCTCTGTCACGTCACTTTAAAAAACCCTGTTATATTTCAAAATTACAAAATTTCCATAAGAATGTATGTGAATTTATTTATTTAATATTTCTCACACTATTCTCCTAATGATCGTGAAATTTTGTCAACATTTCTTTTAAACAAAAGTTTGATTGTTTACAAAGTTTTATCAAAATATCTCTGTTACTTTCTATGGTGTCAACCTTCTTAAAAATCTTCAAAACATTTCTTATAAAATTCTGTAGCTGCCAATTTCTCTTTTTTATTGTTTCTCAAGAAACATTATAATTAAACATTCCATAATTAAACATTATAATTATAATGTTTAATTATATTTACATAGTACATTAAAAGCTCTAAGCTAATTATACCTTCCAAAAATACAACAAAAACATTAAAATAAATAAATAAATAATAATCCAAAATTATATTAAAACATTTATAATTTTATGTCGAAAAAATTTCTATTAAAAAAAAAAAAATTATTCAAACAAATTTTATGTCACCATATCAAACTGTATTTTTTATTAATTATTTATGTTTTGATATAATTACATATAAACAAATATGGCCAACAATTTTATATATATATTTTGATATATTTACCAAAAATTGTATAAAATTTATTATTTTAATACATTTTTGTACCAATTATTTTGAATAATCAATATTTAATTTGTTTGCAGTATTTATTCAATTATTAAAATATTTCATTAATTATTAAATAAAGAATTTTCAGTCCTGATAAATATTTTGAGAGTAAAATTTTTTAATACAATTTTATGAGTTACATAAAAAAAATTTAAAAAAAAAAAAAAAGAAATTTTCGATGTTTCCTAATCATAATTTTTGTAATATATAAATAATAATTTGCATTAAAAATTTAATTATATATTTTTTTTGTAATGATTATTACCCTTTTTACGACAAAAATATTTAAGCTAAAATCCATAAATTGTTTGAATAAAAAAAAGGAATGCTTACAATTTCATTAATCAACATTATTCTTGCTTTACATTATCAAAGACTGTACTTACGTGATTTTTCAGCACACCAACAGTCTCTTGTATGTAAAAATACTCGTGTTACAGTGAAAGAAACGATAAGAGTCGAGTTACCTGTTTATATTTGTGACCCTTTTCTTCCTCTCTCTTTCTCTTCACATTTCTTGTTTTGATGCTAAATCCTCTAGTTGCATAATTTAATGGACTTAAATGTTGCAGTTAGTAGGTAATTAGTGGAATTGATATGCTGCAAGATGAATGTTTCGAGTTTTCCATCGGACACATTAGATGAGGATGAATACCTCACCTAAAGAAGTCCAAGACGCTCAAGATAGCAGTAATGGATTTTCGATTAACGACCA